AAGACTACATTACTGACCAGCATGACAGCCAAAGCTCTGGTAATCTGCTGGAATGGTCTTTAAAAAAAAAAAAAAAAAATCTCGTTACCAAGTTGGCAATTCTTCAGTTTGAAAATTGTGATGTGAAGAATGAAGTGAAAGAAGTGTCTGTATTAGGTAATTTTCTTTAATCCTTAATTTTGGTGGTCTGGAAGGTAACAAAAATAGGAAGAAACATTTTGCATTTTTGCAGAAGAAGGATTTGAGGGGGATATCCTTGACGTCTGAATGCCAGACTTGATCATCTTGCCTCGGAACACTCCCATTTTTTGGTTGATGACAAAGGGTTTGTCCATGTGCGTATGTATTTAATTAGAGAAGCAAAATTGATCATCTTCAGCTGTAGTTCTGCCCCCCAGCTGGTATGGCATAGTTATCTGTTTTAATTGCACACTGCAGTTTGTTTCTTGCTATAATGAAGATAGCTACTCTTTCAGAAGTTGCGGGCTCCAGTGCAGGAATCACAATGCATTTCCAACATGAGTTGGAGAAAATCCCATGATGTAAAAATAAGAATGTAGAAAGGCTCCATTGGGAGTGTCCCATGGGAGGCTTTGGTACACAGATGTAGGAGCCCACTGCACTACTGGAGCAGCCTGTGAGCCCAAAGCCCTTTTAACAAGGATCAACGTATTGCACCTCAATTCTTGGCAAGGTCCTGTTGAAATCAGTAAATAGCTCATAACTATTTCTACAGGGATACTAAACTAATCTAAAGAGCCACTTGTGCCACCTGTTGAATTAATGCGTTGTCTGTTTTAGGAGACAAATCAAAAGCTCTGAAATATTCCGGCTTTTAAGATGTTTTCCGGGTGTTGGTTTGTACATGTAACCCCTCATGCAGAACCCTCTAGGGGGCAGAGTTTCGAATGAGATGTAATCTAGCGTTGTGGCTTGTGTCATGGTGACATTTAGACACGCTGAGAACTGCTTTATCGAAGTAAAAAAGCGTCTGGAAACCGGCCCTTGTGTTTAAGCTCTGAGTGACTTGGAGGAAAAAAATGCTTCTAACAGAAGTACCTTAAACAAATGGATCTAGACAGTGCTGCATTTTTGCTAATAGGTGCTGAATAGCAATTTTGCATGCTTGTCTCTTAGTGTTCAAGCTGTTTAAATATGAACAACTTAAGCTGCAAAGCTTAAATTTTGTGCCAGTATTAAATTTCTCTTTCTTTTTTTATTCTCTATTCACAGCTCTTCGCCTCTTTCACCAAGAGGAAACTTTTGTCAAGATAATAGTTGTCCGTAACCTTAGAGGAGCATGTACATAACTGTTTTCACAAATAATGAGTAGTAATTGAAGTAACTGCTAGCAGAAGAAATGAAGAAACATGCTTTTATGAATAATACGTAAAAGAAATAAAGATTAAAGGATGTTAATAGATTATCCAATCAATATAAAGCACAGCTAGGAGAATGAGGAAGAGGAACAAATAAGTGGAGAACAGGATTGCAAAAAACATACTTTTGTTCTCAGTGAAATGGACTACATGCTATATGAAACTCCGAAATATTGTAATAATATGGTTTGATTTGTCACTAGTAAACTGGTATTTCTTCAGCACTCAGAATTTGGTCATTCTTCTGTTAGACTCTAGACTGTTTCTTGATCTGTAATTATTTTGGTCTAAAAGTCACGATTTTGTTGCTAATTAGCCAGGAATTGGCTTGTAGGGATCCAACAGCATTGAGTAAAAATTCATGGCTGATCTAAAAGGATAAGTCTATTCAGAAGCATCGACGCTGTTCCAGCTGCTTGATTTTGATAGTGTAACTCCAGAGACAAGAGTTCCTCTCCAACGTTAGGGTAGTGATACACAGATGTACCTGAACAAAGTGTCTTCTGTGTTAGGCGTAGGTGCCAGATGAGTGTGCTGAGCTAAGAAGTGTTAATGCTGTCCAGGCTGCCTTTCTGCAGCAAACCATGTGTGGCTGGCTTCTGGGTGCCAGGATATTCCCACTTCATGGGAGATGCGCTAAATGCTTGGCAGGAAATACTAATATTACATTGAACTTTAAGGTTTTCCCCCTTTTTCTAAGGAGAAAAATATGTTATTTTGTTATTTGTCCAATCACAATATTTTCCAGCATTCTTTGAAATGCTTACAAAGTCATGGTGTTATGTTTTAATAATTCTGTACATTAAAATTTTGGAGAAGAAAATTTGTATCTTCTATGTCCACTTTTTTTTTTTTTTTTTTTTTTGAAAAAGGACTTACAGCATTCTTTGGAATACCATAGCTGCCCATATCTGCCTGCTTTTTTCATAATTCATGAATATGAAGGAAAGTAGCTTTAGGCCTTCATCTTATCCGCTGCATGCCAAGACTTTAGCAACAAGAAAATACTTTATTTAATACTTGCGTTTCAGGGCTTAAATTACATCACAAATGATTTGCACACATACTGGTCCTGTTTGGAGGCAAATAAGTGACTTTTGCACTATGGTGTAAAATGTGAAAAATAACCTGCCCCCAAGATCAAGTGATCAAATCATGTCTGTGAGGACTGAATCTTTGCTCTGAGTGACCATCTTCATGTGTGCCCAGTTCACAGGTCTACACACAGATGTAGCTTGGGTAATTAATAAAAACTGAAGATTAAAAGCTATTTTTAAAGGGTAGCTTTTTGGATTCTTCTGTGAAAATGAACACTCAGCGCATGAATGACAGGTAATTACCTTTTTAAATGCTCTCCTTAAATACCACAGAGCAAATATTAAATACTCATGTAATACTTACATTATCATGTACTAGATTCTTCTCATCTTTTTTTCTAGATTCAGAAGTTCCAGTCCAGGATAGGTAAGTATTCCTAAGCTTTCTTGTTAGCCATACCTGTTTCACACAGAGAGAGAGAGAGAGAGAGAGGAGGAAAAAAAAAAATAATCTTATTCATTTATTTTTCTTTTCCTCTCCAAGGATACTTTTTTTTCTACACTACTTCATGTAGTAACTTTTCTGTGGGTTAGCATGCGCATCTAGGTGCGTAGTAAAGCTCCTTGCAACATTACAAACCCCATGCAAACGTGAGCATACACTCAGTTCAAGAATTAAAGTTGCTTCTACCGTTTAATTCTTCCTGCTCACTTTTCAGAAGCATCTTATGCTTCTTTGGCCAGTTTGTTTTTAAGGACCTGTACTGGAAATTATTTGTCCCATCACCTGGTCAAGCATGTAAATGCCTACAACATTTTTTAATGTGGTTAAGATACTATTGTATATTTGTGTGTGCATGTGCACAAGTGCACTGGTTTTAATTCAACTTTCTTCTTTAATTTGCAGCTTCCCAGTCTGGTGTTTTTCTTGCCTCTTCATGGCCTCGTGTCTTAAGAGCAGCCTAGCTGGATCCCCTGGTTCCTGTTTCTTCCTGCTTCAGAGTTCTCTGATTCCGTTTTCCCCACATTTAAAATTCCATGCCCTTTTATTTTCACGCACACACACTAAGCCTTTACTACCTGTTTTGGTCTTCATGGTTTTCGTGAGACTGGTTGGGTCTTGTCCAAGATTTCCCATGTGATGCTGTTCTTTTGGATTCCCTGCAGCCAAGGAGAAGTTTCTGGTGTTGAACAGCTCAGTCTTGCTTTTCAGTTTTTAGGGACCTGGCTGTCCCTATCTGTTTCTGGTCTTCTATTTTATCTTGCTGTAAATGCATTAGTATAGAAGTTAAGGATGTACCTTTTGCTACTCCGCTTCAAAAGCAAGTCTTATTAATTTTTTTGTAAAGAAGTGAGGGAATTTATGCATTATGGGGAATAAGGATTCTGGGGGATAAGGAATATTAGGTCCTGAAGAAAAAAGCAGACAGCCCCCCCTCCCCACAACACATCTCCTCGTGGAGATGTTTAGATTCATGAGATGTTTGTTCTGCCCCTTTCCCTCCTTATTAGGAAAAGCAACCGCATGCTTCTAAGCTAAATGCAGTACTTCTTTTTTTCCTCCATCAAGTAATCTCTTTATTTCTGTGCAGTTTGTGTAACTTTAAGGAGTCTTTATGTGCCCATATCGAACCGGAGTTCCTTGTGCTCCATGCCATGCAGGAGTTGCTGCGGAATTGAACGTGGTTTAGACTCATCCTAAACGTTTTTACTTTCTCGTGTAAAACTTTGCCTTGTGTATTTTCTTGAAAGGGTTGATTAGGAATCTCTTTGGGTATGTGGTCTCCAGGAGGAGATTAGGGGTGTGTGTTGTGATCTTCTCTGGCCCCAACAACACTGTGGGGAGACAGGTACTGGTTTTATTCTCTTTTGGAGTTCACGCTGAAGCAGCTGCAGATTTCTTTATGTGTCGGTTCAGAGTGGCTGCACTCGCACAGAGCCTTAATTTGCCTGCTGTCACTGGATTAAGGTGTGTCTAGGGTTTAAAGCACTAAGCATTAACTTTCTATTCTGCTACAACGTAAAGGCATGTTAAATTAGTCCTATACAAAAATATTGAAAAGTAAAGCTGCTGCATCTGGATTGCTGGAAGTTTGTTATTTTTATAGTGGTGTTTTTAAAATATTTTTTCTCTAATACAAATCATTAGAGGGAGGGAGGGTTAGTGGGGGAATATCTGATGGAACTTTTTCCTGCTATTGAAGTAACTTTTGTCATGGTTATTTGTAAGCATTTTTCACACTTTTTTCATATAAAGTATTAAAACACCTTTTTTTGTGAAGTTTTGATGCTAACTTAAATCCTACTTTAACTAGGCAGTAGTGTTCACACTAGTAATAAATGCCCTTTTCGGTGTTTAGAATATAGGTTCAAAGCTATTAAACTTCGTGATCTTCTGGACTTTTAATATTGGGAATAATGAAAATATGTTTACATTGGAAGAGAAAACTGAATGGCTTTATATTACTTTTTACATTTTGGTAACATAGAATACAGTAGTTGGTTTTGATTTTAAAATATAGACTTTTAAAGTGACCATGTAACTTGTATTGCTGAAAATCTTTACATTGTTGAAACTTAAAATGCTTCCTCAAAGTTACCTTGGGAGTAATTACAACCTTTTTCTTTCCTGTGTTTCAGGGGAATGAGGCAAGCTACCCCTTGGAAATGTGCTCACACTGTAAGTATTTTTATCACAAATTGTATTGTTTGAGAAAGAAAACTTGAATGTCAATTGGAAATTGATAATACAACTTGCTTATGAATTTACCACTGGAAAAATTTCACAGTTTAAATACTCTTCGAAAGAATAAAGTTAAAATGTGAAAAAAATGTCTTTGAAGAATACTCTTTTTTGCTGTTTGGTTGTAATTTTGATTATAATAGTGCGGAGTGTACAATTGTTATTTATATTTTATATATAAATTTATATTTATATTTTACTCTAAATATAAATATGTGTGTGTATAGGGGGTGCGTATGTATATATAATTTTTTTTCTTGTGTATGCCTGCACCCAGGTATTTAAGTGAGAAATCAGTTAAGTTAGTGGTAGGCGCTTCTGGCCACATGAGCATAAAGTTCATTGCTTTATCCTTGTGAGGTTAGTTTATCCTGTAAAAATGACAAAGTATGTCTTGCCTAAAGATGCCCAGAGAAATGGTTGTTTTGTAGTGTCCCTCTGTAAGAGTACTTTTAATTGCTTTGTTCCTTAAACTTTTTTTTAAGTGCTAAATCTCACGTCTGCTTGTATTCGCGGTCAGCTTGATCCAAACTTGCATTCTTTGATCATTGAGATCTTTCTAAACAGGACCGTAAGTTCTTCAGGATAAAGCTTATCTTGTAGACTGCTTCCGTGCACTAGTCGTAGCCCTGTGTCTCATCGCAAGAGTCACAAGCAGTAATGGAATCACAGAAGAGTCTTACTAAATATATTTTAGCATTTTTTGCTAAATTGTTGCAAAAATAATTTGAAAACCCTGTATGCCTGATTATGTACAGGTCTGTATGAATTATAATTTGAGTGATCAGCTTGCAAATACTCCGTGCATGCGAGGAGTATCTTATCCGCCTCACTGAAGCGCTGTATTGCTGGCTCACACTCTAAATGTGTACGTCGTTCAATGTGCATGCGAGTGAAACGTCCAAATTTAAGGAACACTTTAGAGCTCTTTCTGAATCATGTGTCTATTTTTAGCTGGCTGCTGCTTTGGTCAGGTTTTGCTTAGAGGCAAATTGCCCCCTGTAGATGGTTCTTCCTGGCAGTTTGTGCCTCATCTGTTTAATTCTTCTTACTTGCTCAAAATAGCAGCATATTCCTCTTCTAAACTTCTGATTTGGGGAAAACTCAAAGCTCTGTTTATTTGTAGCTTCTGCACTGCCTTATTTTATTGCTGGACTTGTCTGCCCCTTTCCTTGCAAAGGAAGAGAGGATTTCCACGTAGTTCTGTGGTCAAGCTGTATTTTTGAGATACCATGTAAATCTGGGCATTTTTGCAATTAAATCTTTTCTGCTCTGGTCTCACAGGAAGGGAAAGTGGGCTGCTTCTCTCAGCAGCAACACTTCACATACATTAGGGAAAACATGGCTCTCAGATCGTTTTCTTGATTGTATGTGAAGAAAAATGATTGCCTTGTGCTTAAAGATGCTTCATATTTGGAGAAAAAAAAAGATGCAATTTTTGGAATAGAAACATATACAGTAGCACTTGGAGAATAGATACGTAAGTACCTCGTTGTTCAAATGTTACATGCTCCTTCTGCTTCCAAGTAGTTTGACTGTCAGGGTGAAAGTTTCTTCAGGGTAAGACCTGAAAAGCTCCTTGCAGCTCTTTAGCTGAAGATTTTGGATAGCTAGATTTTGAGGAGACCTTTGTCAGCCAGTGCTGTGGCTCTAGGTCAGAACCTCTGTCTGGCGCTACAGTTGCCTCTGCTGCAGTGTGTCACTTTTGTAAGGAGAATTTTGCCCTCACGTTGGCAGCTCTGAAAAGCAAATTGAGACTGTTGGGCGGCAGCTGTGCACCACTGATTAGTCGTGAAGGCTGCTTTTACTGCATTCCTTCACTCGGCTGCTAGGGTTTTTCAGCGCATTGCGTTCCTGTGCACAGAATGTCTTTCTCCAGCAACCATGCCGTGTTGGAGAAATCACGGAAAATCTAGAACTGCTTTACACTGTGGTTTGTCAGTCAAGCTGCATCCAGCTACCCATAAGATTTTCTTTTTTTCCATCACAAAGAGCTGAGAAGTAAAATAATTATTTTACAGTATGCTTTGATTTTAGACTAAGATGACTAGTATCTCTTTTCTAACTTAAGAAATAGTAATTGACACATCTGATGTAGTGAAAAGGATTAGGCCAGCTGTGTGTAAGCATAGACAAGTGGTTGAATGTGTTCTCAAGGGCATCATCTTTTTGAAATTTGATCTACCAGACTGAAATGGCTGTCTTGGTTGCTTAGTCTGGAATGCTATATTCATGAATCAGACAAGATCGTAGATGTGAGACTGTAGAGGTGAGAACTTTCGTTGAAAGTCTCTCTTATTTTGAGTTCTCTGCAGGCAATGCCTTGAGAAAACACTTCTTTCCCCTCTCCTTTTCCCTTCTCTCCTTTTTAAAAGTTTAAGATTAGTTTCAGAACACATTTTACTTGCAAAGAAGCTTTATCTAATTCCTTAACAAGACCTCTGTTTATACTGATATCTAATTTGAGAAATATATCTAGACTTATTGCAGACTTGCTTTCTGGTCTCCTTTTGTCTTTGTAGTTTTATCTTTGAGCTAGTATCTGAAAAGCCAAGATTTTAAATATGTGTTTAAACATCTAGACAACACATTTCAGAAGTGCTGAGTCCTTTCAGCAAGGGGTGCTGGGATGAACAGTATTTCTGAGACTTGAACACTGCACAGGTGCCTCCAGAAGTGCTGTGTGCTCTGCAACAGTAATGTGCAGCACTTCAGAATATGTAGGCAGTTATCCCAGTAAAATCTCAGCGAATCACAGATCTGGAGTTTTAAGGAATTCGTGGACAACATTTGGAACATCTGCTCTGTACTGCTGTGTCCTGGGGAAGCGTGGAGCCTTCTCTAAGAAGGCCTGCTGAGGAGTTCCATCTTGAGGATGGAACTACTAAAACACCACCAGAATGCTTCTGAAAAATACCTTTCTAGCAAGCTGTTTTCCTACAAGGAACATGTAGATCTTGCATTTTAACCTGTCATGTTGCATTTTTAGATGTATGTAAATGAGTTTGTTACCAAGAAGGTATTTTGACTGTAGAATTTTAATGCCGCAGTTGCTTGGCTGAAAGAGGAAGCTTTAGAAAATACTGTCTTTTAAAATTTATTTATTTATTTTCATTTGGCACTGTCAGAAAGACCTTCCTTCTTAATTAAAAGGCAAATGAAATGCAGAATGGGCAGGGAAAAAAGGCAAATCTGTGTGCTTTAAAACCCTGAAGCACCTGATCCTTGCACAGGGCTGTGAGTAAAAACCCTTTCAAGATAATCATTTAACCGCTGTAGTTTCCAGTCAATTAGTATCTTTTGCGGCCTCAGGCACGAGTGCCCTGTGGATGGGATAATGTCCGGAGCATCCAGGGACTGCAGAACTTCACCTGAGCCGTGAGGTTACTGGGATGCTCAGCGCAGCCGGAACTCCTGCCAGCCCAGGCCTCTGAGTCCCCCGCAAATGCTGCTTCTACGAGCTAAGCAGAGCTTGACCCTCCTTGTTTTGCTCAGCGGTTTTATCACCGGTTCATGCTTTTGCGGACTCGGACCTCCTTGGAGGTGGCGATCCTAGTGGCGATCTCTGTCCTAGTCTCCTGAGTCTGTCTTGTTAAGTTCTGTCTCCTACTGCCCCCCTCAGTCCTTGTGGCTCCAGTGCCTTCTCTGTATCAGAGTTACCCTCTGACTTGCGTTCCAGGATAGTTGAGTTGTCTGAGGCAAGAGTTGGTGAATACCTTTGATAAGTGGTAAGAGGAAGCCTTCTGCCCTGTCAGACCTTGTAAGCATCTGTACTGTGTCTGAAGTTTGCTCTTTCCTGTTCTCAGCTACTGCTGTTGTGCATCCCTGCATTAGTGACTAGTTGATATATAGATACTGACAGTGGGAAGTTTAATTGGAAGTTTGTTAGTGCTCTGGTAGAGGATCAGGTTACTGAATCTGCTACAGTCTTCAAGCCTAAGTCTCCAAGCTCTGCATATTGGCTGACCTTACAAGGGAAACTAAGTGCCATGTGCTTCTATTCTGTACTTATCATAGAATCATAGAATGCTTAAGGTTGGAAGGGACCTCTAGAGGTCATCTAGTCCAACCCCCTGCACACGCCTGTGCATGTGGCACAGGACTGCATCCAAGCGGGTTTTGAAGATCTCCGGAGAAGGAGACTCCACAACCTCTCTGTGCAGCCTGTTCTAGTGCTCTGTCACCCTCACTGTTAAAAAAAAAAAAAAAAAAAAAAATTCTTTAAGTCATTGGGGAATTTTCGGGGCTTTTTCTCAGCCTTCTCTTCTCCAGGCTTCATCTACTTCATCTTCTTAAGCTTTTATAAGATGTGTGTAAAAAATGGATCAAGTGGTACATATGTGAAGTACACAAGTAAAACAATTTATTTTACAATTGGAGCAAGTAGACTGAATGGACCTGGGAAATTTTGCAGAAAAAGCTTGTGTTAGGGTGGGAAGGAAGTTTGTGTGGGAAGATTGAAAATTTCTCTGCTCTGCAGGCTGTCTGCTGGGTTTGCTTGTGCCCTCTACCTCTGTAGTGCTTCTGAAGATCCTCAGGTCCTCTTTCCTACCCACATGTGCTGAGTAACTTGGAAACAAACTTTGGTCTTCTAAATGAAACTGGATGCAAATTTCCAGGTTGTCACAGAGAGAGTTTTCAGGCCCTTCAGCATGGACAACACGGCAAAATCGAAGATCCTAAAGTAAGGTGTTACATGTTAGAACTGAACCTTGCTTTAAATCTGAAGAGAGCAGATTTAAATCTGAAGGTGGCATGATATTGCTGCAGCAAGAACCCGAACCCCTTTTAGTTTCTGGGACAAAAAGCACTGATTGGAGGCTGTGGTTAAGTGTTTGTCCAGATTTTGTTGAAAACGGAGGGAGATTTTGCTTCTGGTCTGTGTGTGGGGTGTTTCCGAATAGGTGTATGGATGTTGCTCAGCATTGACGGTCCCACTGTGGCGCTGGCAGCGCTTCTCATGCATTTGGTGTGCCGAAGCAGCTCTCCTTCACTGTCATCGTGTATTAATAGAATTCCCTCTGACGTACTCTGTTATTTTACTTTAAACTTAATGCCGTTTCCCTGCAAGAGAAGCTGGGTGTCTCTTTTGTTTCGGGCTTGTATTTGTGAGGGCTGTGTGGCTAAGAACTAGCTAAGCGTGGTCAATCCCTCGGAAGGTTGTGTCAGCAGATGCTGCCCAGGGGGCCACACAGCTCCCGCAGCATGGCTGGTGCGGGGAGAGAAAAGGGTAAGTTTGAAAGCACTGGGGAAAATGTTTCATTTAACTAGCAGTGTTTATTGAACTCTTTGTGAGATTTTTTTTTTTTAACCCTTTTCAGTTGATGCCGATGAGATTAAACGACTAGGGAAGAGATTTAAAAAGCTCGATTTGGACAACTCTGGTTCTTTGAGTGTGGAAGAGTTCATGTCTTTACCTGAGTTGCAGCAGAACCCATTAGTACAGCGAGTAATAGATATATTTGACACTGATGGAAATGGAGAAGTGGACTTCAAAGGTAAGAAGCTATGCTTTCTGCTAGTTTCATTTGATCAGAGTTCCTCATGCCTCAAAACTTAAGTGCAGCTGCAACTGGGAAAGGGATTGGGAAGAAAACTTGTTAATAAGGTATTAATTCCACGTAAAAATAGCTGCTAGTGAAACTATTCCCTTTAGCAAGTTTCTCATATTGTAGAACAATGCACTCTTGCATGAAATGCTTAAAAGAGCAAAGTGCTCAGTAGTTGGTCCTATTTATTTATCAGCATCCATTAAGTACCTCTTGAATCATCCAGATGCAGACTTCTAATGGAGGTGCTATCTGGAGTACACCCTTGCACTAAAAAGGCTATGAAAAGGACTAACTTGTATTTGTCCCAGTGTCAGTGTGAGATACCTGACTTGGAGTATTTTAAAAGGGCCTTCTGCACTGTGAAGGTGATGCTGAGTTTGTGTTGTCATCTCCTTTGCAGGATTCTGTGCTCAGTTGTGCCTGTCTGTTTTTTTTGTTCGTTTGTTTTTAATGGTTTAAGTAGTTGCTTCAGTCTAAAAGTGAACATTTTGACTAGAGTCTGAAATTTTGAAGAAATATATTTCAAATATTCTTTCTTATTAGAAAGATCACAAGATCAAACGCCTTAATTATTAGTATATTGAAACAATTTCTCTCCCTTAGAAGTGACAGTTCCTGTAACATCAGGAAGGCTCAGGCTAATGTAGATATCTCTGTGGTCACACCTAGAAACTGTGGTTCCAGTTTTCTATTGCCTCTTTTTATAGAAGAAAATTTTTCAAGGTGACTTATATTGATGGGTTGACTTTTTAAATAAAATACTAATAAACATATAAGTTATCGAAGTTCTTGAATTTTTAGTATTTTTAAAAAGCTCCTTCTAAACTTGTGAATGGGGGAAAATATAGTGCAATTGGAAAACTCTGAAGACTTTTTATTGGTGGTGGTTTCTGAAGCTCTGTAAATTTGTGTTGCAGTTCACAATGCACTTGCAAAAATGATGCAGTGAGGGAAGATGCTATATAATATATGATATTAAGCTATAATTAATAGAATTATGAAGAGCTCTTTCTTGTAGGTGGGAACAGGAAGCTGTCGGAGCTAGTTGTGTGTCATAAAGAAAGTGCTGTTGCTGCAATAGGTGGCAGTGAATTTTAACATGTTGTCTAACTATGTCTGGTTCACTTAAATTTTTGACCTCTATTACAGGGAAGCTCAGAGGAAAAGACAAATTACTAGTGGGAAGAAACTTGCATATTTTTGATAGAAGACCTTTAGACCTGTAATTATGGAGGAAAAATTAAGCTATTTGGCAGTTCAGCTGCAATTTTGCTCTGTTGCTTTCGTTACTGAAAGCTCTAGAGAGTCTTATTGTGGGATCTCACCTGCACGTGTCATGTCTGCGTGTGTTATCCTGGCAAGCATAGTGTAGGGCTGGTACCTTGGATAATGACCTTGTTGTTAAACAGTGTGAACCGTCTCTTTTCCCTGCTTTTCATATGAAGATATCCTTCGGGGGCTTTGTTTTGGTAGAACAGTTTTCAGCTTGATATAATTCTTGCCTTAGGTTGAGAAATTTGTGTTGAGATGAGCTCTACAATTAAAGTTCCCACTGGAGTAGGTTTAGTCAAGATCTAGATGCATTTTCATATAAGGAATTGGATGAAACAAAGTGTGGGAATAGGTGCCGCAAGGTAAGCCACATCTTAAAGACTTCATGGTAAAGATTCTTCCTGCAATGTCTGAAAAAAATTCTGAGCGTGATTTTCTTGTGCTTGTTAAGAAAAACACTATGGATTCAAACAAACAAATCTGTTCTGTGTCCCTCAGAGTTTATAGAAGGGGTCTCCCAGTTCAGCGTCAAAGGAGACAAGGAGCAGAAGTTGAGGTGTAAGTATTTTGTTTTTCCTTTTGTAAACAACAACAAACTTTGTCTCTACAGAGTTTGGTTTTGTTATTTAATGGTAAAGAATATGGATTTATTGATTTCTGCTGCCAAGGTGCTTTATTTTTGCTGGTGAGGTTTTTTTCAGTTCAGTATTCTTAGAACTATTTTATACCTGGTTCTTGAAAACATCAGCTGAGATTATGGCTTTAAGGTGGGTTTTTTCATTATGTTGTTTCTGCTGCTTTTTTGCAAAATGAAGCTTAAAAATATAACTGCTACTTTTAACATGTTACAAACAATCTTCACTGTTAAATACAGCATTTTTTCCCTCGGTGGTGCTGAGTGATGTAATGAATGTGCTTTGCAGTAACATCATGACTGTGCATTACCCTGTTATGGCCACATTTGTTACTGAAAGGGTCTTTTTTGTGTGTGTATTTTACTTCTGTAGTTGCTTTTCGCATTTATGATATGGACAAAGATGGTTATATCTCGAATGGGGAGCTCTTCCAGGTGCTGAAGATGATGGTTGGGAACAATCTCAAAGACACTCAGTTACAGCAAATTGTAGATAAAACCATAATTAATGCAGATAAGGATGGTGATGGAAGAATATCTTTTGAAGAATTCTGTGCTGTAAGTAGATCTCTAAAGAATTTTTTGATAATTTGAAATGAAAATGAAGACGCAGTAAACGTTTTCGCAGGCTGAGGTTATGGAAGCAGGGGGGTGGTTGTGGTGTGGGGGCCGGGCCCTTCTGCTGCGGCTGCGTGGTGACAATCTCGTCCCCTGGCGTGTGGGACACGGTGGAGCACACGGGCTCGAGCGCGTCGGTTTGTGAGGGGGCAGCTGCTTCCACCGAGTGCAGCTGCCTGCAGAGGAGAGCCAGGCAGAGCCCTCTTCCAGGAGAAGCGCTGTGGGATCTGCACAGGAAAAAATAGTTAGCGCTAGTCTTGTGTTTAGTTCAGAACCAACAAAGCTAGATTGACATGGAGGCTTGCGGGGTTTTGAGTAACTGGTTTGTTGTAGGAAGCTGATTTTTCCTTGTTTTGAACACTTATAGTATACTTTTCAGTTGTGTTGAATGTCTTTGAATGCTTTATTGAAATACTGAGTGAAAAAGGGTAAAGAAAAGTGACTAGGTACAGTCTGTTGAGTAGAAGAAAAGCTTTAAACCACCTGAGAGCTGGGTAAGACGAGTGCTCTGCCTCTTAGAAGCTGCAGGTGGCTGGAGGGGAGAGCTGCATCCTGCAGAGGGTGACTCTAGCCTAGCCAGGTTAATCTCCCTGCCTCTAAACTAGGTGTCTGCTCCCAATCACCCTTCAGAAGGGTTTATCTTTTCTGTGCGAGGAGGGAGGTCTAGGTCGATTAGCGACCTCTGCAGAGCACAGCACAGCGTGTGTGGCGGCCACAGGAGTGAGAGGCTTCTCGCCCAAACGGACAGCGACTCCCCAAGTGCTGCTTCTGGAAAAGCCCGAACATGTCAAGACACACTTTCAGCCCCTTTGGTAGGGATGATGGTAACACTTCAGACCCAAAGTTGATTTGGATCCATCATGTTGGATCATGTTGGTATAATCAGAGTTGACAGCGAGCTTTAAATCTCTTATCTCTCTATATATACACACACACCATACGTTCAAACTTTTATTTGAAAATCACAGTGCTCATTTACACATTGGTTTTAAATGGAGAGTGTATAGATTTATTTAGAATTGAATAGAACCTGCCTGAGTTGTGACATATGTGTTCAAGCATTGCATTTACTTCTCACCATTGGAAATTTGCAATTGAATTCAAGCAAGTAGTTTGTAATTATCTGCGTGTTTATTTTTGTGACATCTTGTTGAGAAAGTGAGGTTCTTCCTTAGCCATGTTAGCCTGCAGACACCCATAGACGAGTGAGACATTCCTTTTGTTTCTCTGCTGAGGTCTCTACTTTTAGCCGTCCACTGAACATCATTTTGCTCTTTCTCTTTCCTTTCTGTCTCTGGACTTCTGCACAGACTTCCTGTCTTGCAGTAGCATACCCCTCCCTTACATTTTTTCACTTAGAAGAGTGAGTGAGTGTATGCACATGTCTGTGCTCCTGGTTTATCTTCTTCCTTTTCTTACTGCATTTACCTCCTTTTGGATTTTGTGCAGTTCCTACAGAAATATTTTTCTATCACTGCATTTGACTGCTCCAGTTGGCCTTTAATATTCTTTCCATATTGTAAAAACAAAACCCAAATCCAACAGAACACTCCTGATTTTGCATCGTTCTCTCTTCTTCCTGCACGTGGGAGTCACACTTTTGGGACCCTGGTAAAGATGGAGAACTTCATAGAGTGTTTAAAGAGGAAAAAAGAAGCAAACACATTTTGGTTAGAAGGTCGAAGCACAGATAAATGGTAGAGTGACCCTGGTCTTTCCAGGCTCTTGGTGTGTAAACTGAACCAATAGAGTGACCTTGGGTGTTGCTTAATCCACATCAGACAGCGCTTGCAATATCTAAATTAGTTTAGCTTAGGCTAGAGATACATTTAGGTCCAATAATAATTAAATTTTATCTTCTGAATAAAGTTACTGTGTGTTTTGTTACCTTCTGAATCTCATATTTTTTGTCATTGTGTATTTTTCTCCTAGGTTGTAGGAGGCCTAGATATCCACAAAAAGATGGTGGTAGATGTGTGACTCTGTAGGGCACCACCCAACACTTTTGCTTTCTTCTCCATCTCTGAAGATCTGCTCAAGACGTCCAGCAATGCTCTCTGTGTATTTAAATGGAAGTATTTTTCTCTGTGAAGCCACATTTTTCCAACATGAGCCTCATGAAGCCAACTAAGTGTTATTGAACTTTTATTCTCTCAATAACTCAGTGTAGCACTTTAAATTCTGAAGGACAGCAAAGATTGAAAGAGCATATCAGTGTGGTGGAGAAAGGGAAGGGGTTGGCTTTTTAATTTATTTTTCTTCATCTTTTATAACAAGGAAATATCTATATATATATATATGTGTGTGTGTATTTATATATAGATATATATGTAGCTTTCTATATGTAGTAGCTAGATGGGCTTTAATTTAATATACTTGATTCAGAAACAGAACTAGAGTACAAAGTGCCAAGCAGAATATTAACAGTTCAATATATGGATATACATCCTTACTTTTATTTCACACAGTTTTATATATATAGTAGAAGAATGTAAAATTTTAACTGGGTGTTAGGTAAACTCTTTTCTTTTTCCTGTGACTGTTGAGATGTTTCTATATATTGACTGGCTGACAAAGCGTTGCTTCTTATTAATTTACCTTAATTACTTTTTTTTTTTTTTGGGTAACACAGGAGACTAAGTTTATTTATACCTGTTAATATATTACCAGGGACTGTGTCCCTTTGCTAAATAACTTAGTACAGTTCTACTTAATATGAGAATATAGTTTAATGCTACTGCCAAGAACCAGTCCCCATGGGTGCAGTGACTGCACAGTGTTCCCCTGGCCACTAGATCTTGTCACCTAGGAACTAGGAGCGATTACACTTATCCCTAGGGAAATGTAAACCTGCTATTCGGGATCCAGTTAGATGTGGCTGCTGCTCGTGATACTAGATGCATTCATGATTTTCTCTTGTACTTAGTTTAATGAAATTAGGATTGACATTAACTGCAGGATTCCCATCTGCTTCTTTTGTATAGTACTTAGATTATAAAATGCTCTTGCCAGTAAATTCTGCTATTTCGACTATGATAGTTTCCCCTCTGCATTTAAAGAATACTACAAGTAGCGAATATTGCTGGTAATATTTTATATATATGTATATAGGATTCATACATGGGGAAAATCTTGTTAACCTATGCCATAGAGGAGGAGAACTTCACACTATCTAAATTTATACCTCTTGCAGTTCTCCAGCCCTTTGCCTGGAGAATTTTTCTTTTCTAGATTTGTCCATATCATAATTTGTAACGGATGGTAACTTGATATATTTGTGTGATATAAAAGTAGCGAGCCATATTTCATGACTTTATATCATCCCTTCCCTTTTCTGCAATGGTACTATTGGCTGGAAGGAAAACATTTGGTAGGTTTTTTTTAGGACAGTACATCTTTCCTGTATAGTAGTTTTTCTATTTAAAAAGAAAATTGTTTTATAATCAGCAGTGGAAAGTGCAGGTTTTCTGAACCTAGTTCAGTCGAGCACCTGTCTGCCATAGCTGTTCCTTCAAGTGAGTGCTGCACATCATGGGCTCTGTCTGTGAGAGAGAAATCCAGGTGCTTGGTGTCCTTGCATGACATGAAGTTTTGCATGTAGATCGATTTGAAATGTTCCTCTTGTTTACATAATTTGCATAATTTAAAATACAATGTTGCCAAACTTTGGTAAATGTCCATGTTCAAAACAAAACCTCTCCACTACATGTAACTTTCTTCCCCTGGATCAGTTACATGGCTTATCCCAGCCCGTGGTTGTATCTGCTCCAGTGTCAACTGCCATGTGCTCTGCTTCAAGGGGGAACGAGTCTTTTGTGAATTTTTTGTACATAAGTATTTGTTACAAACATTTTAGCAAGTGCTTTCAATTTCTCTTACTTGCTTGTGCATATCTTGGCTGGCGTTATAGAAAATAGTGCTAATGTTATTTCCTTAAGGGGGTTGCAAGGGGAGGGATGAGGTTTTCTTTTTTTTTTTTCTTCTTTTTTTCTTTTTCTTTTTTTTTTAGTTTGTGTGGGGAAAAAATGATTTTTGTTGAATGTTTAGTTTTTCCTCTGCATGCTACATCATATGTTGTGGGAACTATAAGAACCTTCATACTATATGAATACAAAATAAAATATTTGAACCTTGGCTTGAGCTCTATTTTCCTAAATGTTTCCTTTTAAACTTAAGACAGCTTTTCACCCACCCAGGTTTAAACCAGATTTGCTGTCTGTAATTTCTTTAACCCATCTTTCTTAAGTTCTAAAGACTTAGAAAAAAACTATATAAGACATAGACTGTCTGCTGAACACTTCCAGGCTTCACTTTAGTGTTCCAAGCCCCCATGTTTTGTTTCTTTTTAGAGACATTAATTCTTTATGTGCTACACTTTCTCTTTGGAGCATGAAAGGCTGCTGATTTTTCTGCAGGTGGAAACAACCCTTGTGGTAGGAATTTCCTCTGCAACCGCAGCTTGGACTCTATATTGCCTTACGCGTTTCATGGATCATAAAATGCAGCACTTGAGAAATTTCGTTTTGCTGCATGAGTGTCACATTCTCCCCTTCTACAGCAGCTCTTGCTCAGGATACACTAACACTCTCTTCATAGTGTTTCAAGGTAAGGGAGAGGATGAGGCAACACTGATTTTTATTCTTGCTTCATGTAGTAGGTGCATTGCTTTATCTGCAGCTGCTTAAGGGGGCAGTTGTCTTCCCTAGGGAGCTGGGGATTTTGGATAATTTTAAAAAACAGTCTTAGCTCTTTGGTGTTGAAGACTTGAAATAATTTTGCCATAAAAACACTCCCTGGTACGTGGGGCACTGCTCATGTTACAGATATTGTTTCTCAATCTTGTGCTACTTTATCTATTTTCTTTCACTGTTTTGAAATAGTTTTAGGGACAAGTCTAGCAGGGGGAAGGGGCCCCCAGGGCAGTCCCAATGGGCCAGCTCCTGGAGGTTCCCTCATCTCCCTATTCCGCATCAAGGGATCGTGAGTGTTCAGGGACACGTGGGTACTTGGGGGGCAGCCTTGGGTGCTGCCCCAGAGCTTCTGAGTGCTCCCTCAGGAAAAGGATATTGGTGAGATCAAAATAAACCTTGCTCTCCTAGGAACAACTACTCAGGATTAAGTGTACTACTAACTGCTTAATTTTTTTTCTTTTTTGTCCAACATTCTGCTGTACGAGCAGCAGACTTCACATGCCTCCAATTTGTCATATAAAGTCTCAGAAGAGGGATAGCTGAAAAGATGGTCTCATCCTAAAGCCTCTCAGGAGTCTCCAAGTAAACACTGAAAGCTACCCTTGAGTCTTTCTAGAAAGGTGCTGAGCCAGGGCTGTAGGGTTGCCAGCACTTTGTGCCATCTTCTTTAGGCTCTTCAAAGCCTTCTCAAGGCCTTCTAAATCCTGAAAATGCTGCCTTAATTATTTGAGAGTCAGAAAATCCTTTAGGTGTTGAGAATAAGCTTAAACACAGACACTTTAGACTTTTTTTTTTTTTTTTAATACCTACACACAAGGCAGAATCACTTAAAATACTTGAGCTGGGCTGCCTGAAGGGAACTGGACTGCACAAATAGTGCACAAATAGTGGATTTTTCTGGGCTTCCATGTCCCCTAGAAGGTAAAACGGGTCCTTGTGTAACTCTAGGCCTCTGCAGTCCATCTCTTGTGTACATGGAGGTCCTGCCTCCCAGCCCCAGTTCTCGGAGTGGCAGCAGCACTTTGCATCTCAGAACCTTTCAGCTGCTCTGCTGGCCACAGCCCTAATATTGCCATAGACTTTGGAGGGTGGACTCCCTGTAGCAGAGAAAAGGACAAAGTCAATGCAGCCACCACCATGGCACTCTACAGAGAGTTGTTTTGCTCTCCTGCTTCTGTGTGCACCCCATGGAGGAAGGGTAAGGAAGATGCTCCCTGTCTATTCCTGCATGCAGTGACTTGGGCTGCTGCTGGGACAGGGGCTTCCGGAGGCTGTTCCTGTGCTGAGAGCCCCGGCCGCCCTCCCACGGCTCCCTGCTGCCCGCCCCCTCAGCAGGGCTCCTCCGGGACCACCCCGGAGCTCCCGAGGCTGGAGAGCTTTTCCACAGGAGGCGGCTGTGGATGCAGACACCAAGCCCTGCAGGAAGGAGGGGAAGGAAGCAGGAGAAGAGCACTGCGCTCCCTGGCTCCCAAGGGCAAGAGCCGCCCCCAGCAGCCACCCTCCTCCAAGAGCACATGCAGGTAAATGGGACAGGAGTTAAGACCCCCCCTGGAAAAACCTCTAACTGCAACCAGTTTATTTTCATGTAAGGAACAAAGATAACAGGACTTACCTAAAATTAGATTGCAAATTGCTGTCCGTGCCATTTTTATGTTCTGAAAAGATCCCAAAATATGAATTTTTCTGGAAAAAAAAAGCAGGTATGAAGGATTAGTTACTGGAGGGGAAAGAAAAAAAAATCACACAATAAATGGAGAATCTGGAAGTCAGAGGTGAACAAGAGCCTTCAAATCACTGTATGAATTCTTTTTCCACAGTTCTAATCTTTTTCTAATGAGGTAGATATATTTTGTAAATACTCTGCTGGATTTTAGAATTTGCCAGTTTACTACTATAGCAGCTTTGGGAGAAAAACATTTTTTATAGGGCTGGGGGGCGCAATTTTGATTGCTCATACAAAGACATTCTTACACTGCGTAGAATCATCCCTTTCTGGATGTACTGGTATACTGTCTAGGAGGAAAGTCTGTATACTTACGTGTCAGCAAGAACTATTCGTGTTCTTGTCACGTTTTCTATAGTGAACTTGGTTTTTCCACCTTTCCCTGCTATTCTCCCTATTGCTCTTGACAGATGGTCTCCTTTCAAAGGCTTGACTAGAAGGAGAAGAAACAAAGTAAAACATCAGATGTGTTTCTGGAATACATTGTGCAAGTTACTGAAATGACCAACTTATGTTACTGAAGCAACCTTACTGTAGGTGAAATATATATTTATATTCACATATAGTGATATATGTGACAAACATCTAATGATACATGGCCACAGTGTTTGGCAACACAGAACTGTAATAGAAGGTACCAGGCAGTTACGACTGAAGAAAGAAACAAAGCAGGAGCAGAGAGAATTAACCCAAATAGGAATATAACAGATCAGACATCAATAGCTCTGTCCTTCGGCATCCTGCCATGCACTGCACAGTGTCCTCTGCTTCCCTGCTACGTTTAAAAAAAAAAAAAAAAACACCACATAAATAACAAAAACACCCACATGCTATGCTCTCAACCCCAGGACACCTTCAAGTAAGTTTAAAGAACTGTTTTCTATGATGAGGAAAATTCAATCAGATAATTAATTTGGCAAAGGTCATTTTTAAGCAAGCAGTCTGGGGGGTTTTGTGAAGACATCCTACAAAGAGGACTTAACCTTGGAGTGTTCATACACTTAGACAGGAATCCACTATGACTGACAAGGGAAGAGCTATTTTGTTTTGAAGAGAAGGAAAAAGGAAAAAAAAATCACAGATGATAAATGCAACTGCTAGAACATCACAGCGGAAAATACTTACCATCTGTAACCTCAAAAGATTCTAGAAAAAGATCATCTAATCTGATGAGTGCAAGAGCATCCTAAAATATTAACAGATCAGTTATCAGTAAGTTCATTACAGCACCACATTACATACTTGCAAGATATTATGCATTTCCTTTATGTACATAAAAATATTTCCCCATGTAATGGGTCAAATGGATAAAAACAGCCCAGCTGCTTCTTCAGTAGCAATATAGACTTCTAGTTCTAAACAGAGAACACTGCAAACATCATTCCCCCATAATCCACGTAAGCAGGTGAGGTCAGTGTAGGTACCCTGCTAAAAGGGTTTCTTCTCAGCGAGGAGAGCTCTGAACACAGCTGTAGCTATCGACCTAACCTAACCCAAAAGGAACAGTCTTTGCATGAGCAGAGCAGCTCTAAGCCCTTAATTTCATGTTTCTCTCTTATGTATCACAAGGTATTTCCTCTATTTCATAAATGTAAAGAACAGTATCACTGACAGTAAGATGCATGCCTTTTGAGGATTATATTTCCACTCATACACAATTTCATGTATTTTTTTTTATCTAAATACCATTTTATTATTTCTTACTTGCAAAAAGGCCTAATTTGCAAGAAGGCCTAAGAGCTAAAGCAACAAATTCGAGCAGCGCTCTGCCTCGCTGCTGCCAGACTCACCTCCACTTGAAAGCCCAGCACAAACGCCTTCACAAAGTCAGCCGCTTTCGTTAGAGCACTTATGTCCTTCGTCTCTTGACAAGTCTGCACGAGAGGTGAGGTTTGCAAGCTAAGACCATTCGAGTACAATCATGACTTGAAAAAGAAGATCTAAGAAACAAAGGCTGAACATGGAAAGCTGCACCCAGGAGATGCTCCTTCTCTATTGCCTGCATATGCTTTGTGCTTTCATGTAACGCCGGTTCTCCGCCACAGGTCACTCAGCAGAACTGCAAGACCATTCTGGCCCTCCCAGGTTATTTCTGGGACATGTAACCCTGGCCTGGTCACATCACCTTCCCTAGCAAGTTGGCGTTGACTTCTTGTTGATATCAGTATCGGTATTTCCCTCATTTCTCCCTTGTAGCTACCCTCTTGCTTGCAGTAAACTTTAAAGGTTTGGAAGCAAAATTAGCATTGGTGTCTGAATTTTCCTATTACATCTGAAAACCTTATACGTTAATATTGCTAATGCAATTACTCACACATCAGGAACATAGCACAAGCTTTGGATAAACAGCTAGAATAACTGGTTCCAGTAAGAATAATAAGAATGAAGAATAAACAACACCACAACTTGCAAGTACACGTTGCTCTCTGTACCCTGCACTATTTCAAGGCAATCCACTAAAGAACTACAAGGTTTTAAATCGTGTTCCCTTATCTGCAACTGTGAACAAAAGATGCCAGGGTCCCCTCAGAAAACCTCTATCAACTCATAACAGCCCCTTTAAAGTTTAGTAGCCTTAAATACCTGAAAGATACTGATTTTGGAATGCACTAACACACAGACCAACAGTCTTCAATTAATTTGCTAATGAATAGCTTTCCTCTTACAAAAACAGAGAAAAAAACAGTTTTTGCAGGCCACCAAAAGGTAGAATTTTGTTTTGACTGCTTGCTTCTAGCACTGACTGACAGATGTTATTTCAATTCCTCTAACAACTTTCACCGTTTCTCCAAGTATTTTACAAATACTTATAATGCCCTTGGCAAATACCCAAGGGTTCGACCTGCTGCCCAGAAACCCATAACGAACACCACAGCGGTACCCGAGCGAGACGCTGCGTTTTAAACGCCTGTTTAACCAGAAGCGCCGCAGGAAGGGCCCTCCTTCTACCTTGATTTCGACGTTCCTCGTTTTCAGGTTGAACCTGATCTGCAGCTGCAGGTGCTCCACGACGGGCGTGAAGATCTTCATCCAGTTCTCCTTGAGCGGCGTGTACCTGTTGGCCGGCACCGGGATCCGCCTCGTCTCCTCGCCGCCGGCCTGCCGGGGAGCGCGGCGTGAGGGGGG